TAAATTTATCCATAGAAGGTCAAACATGTCGGTATAATTCAATTTCAGCAATCACCAATTAAATTAACTAAAAATCCAAAAATACGTAGTTAAATTGAGTTTAAGAATGTCAATAGATTGATGGTAATAGAAAATACATTCACGGCAAAAAGTTGAAAACTATTGAAAAAAAATTTGGCATTAATATACCTTATTTCAATCATTATTTTGAGCAATCTCTTTCTCAATCTCAAACGTCAGATAATGAAAACTTCGAATCCTGCAAAATCAAGATTGGTTGACAAAATTAGAGCAGCATATAGAGAGAAAAACGTAGAGAGAAAAAACGGAACCATAAGAACCCAGAACCCGAAAATATAATCCAAACTTGATGTGTATTCCAATCACACAAGTTTACCAAATTCTTCTAGGAGCAAAAAATCTATTGTTTGATAGCATTAGTCTTGCAAATGGAAAGGAAGGAGAAGTTTGCAATGGGAGGTTGCGAGTGGTGATCTACCATATCTTTTCAAATTTGGACGAACTTGTTGTGGACGGAAGGGGGTGTGGGTTGTGATGGTTGTGGATTTGAGGTAATGGTGGTGGTTGTGGTAGAGGTGGAGGAGATGGTGGATTTGAGGAGGTGATGTGGTGGTAGTTGGTATGGTGATGGTGGTGTTATTGATGCTTCTCTAGTTGTGCATGTCTGTATGGTTGCTTGGATGTGGAGGTGGAAGTGGTGGTGGGACAATGGTGGTGAGATGGCAGCGACATTAGGGTGGTGTCGTTGGTGGTAAAGTGGAGTGCGGTGGGATGAAAAGCATTTGTAGTCATTAATTGAGTAACTGTGTCCTATAAAATGAGTAATTTATGAGTAATAAATAATATGTGATATAAAAAAAAGTATGGTTTGCTATTAAATATGTAATTGTGACCCACGATTTATCCACGTGACTGTGACTTTGTACAACTTGTGACAAATACGTGACTGTAACCATAAATTGTGTATGATTATGACAGTGACTTGAATAAGCGTCTGTTTGATGCCCTTAAATTCACCCAAT